CACTGTGGCTCAAGTGGTAAAGCGCTAGCCTTGAGCTGAAGAGCTGAGGGACAGCGCCCAGGCCCAGAGTTCAGGCCCCACGACCGGACCAAAAAAAAAAAAGAAAAGAAGGGATAGTCAGAGTCCTGGAACAGAAACGAATAGGTGTGGATATATATGCATGTGAGAATGGGAATGTGTGTAATGATAAAGAGGCCTGTAAAACCAGAGGTGATAAAAGAGGGCTCAACGTGGTTCAGCAGCCTCAGACTTCACTAAGAATGCTTAGAGATAGGGGGTCTTCCCTTTCCCTTTAGTCTTTGGGGGAGTCTTTGCCTACAAGAGGTTGACTGAAGACACTTAGCCCCAACCAGAGAACCCAGAATGTATATCATCTAGGTGATAGCATGACATCTTTTCTTTCTTTTTCTTTTTTTTTCTTTCTTTTTCTTTCTTCTTCCTTTTTTTGTCAGTTGTTCAGCTTGAACTCTGCGCCTGGGCACTGTTCTTGAGCTATTCATCTCAAGGCTAGGACCCTACCACTTGAGCCTCAGTGCCACTTCTGGTTTTCTGCTGGTTTACTGGAGATAAAAATCTCACGGGTGGGCTGGGAAGGTGGCTCAGTAGTAGACTGCTTGCCCTTCATATATGAGGCCCTAGGTTCAATTCCTCAGCACCACATAAACAGAAAAAGCTGGAAGTGGTGCTATGGCTCAAGTGGTTGAGCATTAGCCTTGAGCTGAAGAACTTAGGGACAGCACCCAGGCCTAGAGTTCAAGCTCCAGGACTGATTTTAAAAAAAAAATCTCACTGGCTTCCTGCCAGGCTGACTTTGAACCAAAATCCTCAGATCTCAGCCTCCTGAGTAGCTAGAATTACAGGCGTGAGTCACTTGCGCCTGGCTGACATCTTTTCTTAAATGTTCACTCTCTCCCCATGATATAGTTATCCAAACTGATCACTGCAAATTAGGAATGTAAATAAAGAGAAATTGAACCCTTCCTCCTTGTAAAACCCCTCTCACATATTTATATTTCCCTGGGAATCAAAATGCATTTGCAGTTTTGGGATCTATAGTGTCCCAGTCAATATGATTTCTTTGTTGTTGGTGGTGGTGGTTGTGGGGCTTGAACTCTGGGCCTAGGCGTTGTCCCTCAGCTCTTTAGCTCTACCACTTGAGCCACAGTGCTACTTCCAGTTTTCTGATGGTTAACTAGAGATAAAGAGTCTCATAGACTTTCCTGCCCAAGCTGGATTTGAACCACAATCCTCAGATCTCAGCCACCTGAGAAGTTAGGATTATAATGTGAGCCACTGTCACCTGACTGTCAATGTGATTTCTGATGGCTGCTATACACAGATGCCATGGTTTATTTAGCTGTTCCCCTAAAGTTGCTTATTTTCCAAGCCGTTATTATCAATAAACAACCTGCTGGCTTTTAAGTCTCATTTCTCTACATTGTCCTGGGCTGGATTCCTATCAGAGGATCAACCAGGGAGAGGTCAGACTGGTTCTAGAGCCTTGATTGATAGATCTGTACATTGCTTTTCAGAAAAATGAAGAGGCCCAGAAAGCTCTGAAGCCTTTGCCAGCACCTGCCTTATTTTTAGTGTTTTCACTTTGGCAATTTTACTAAGCTGGCTGCAAACCAGTGCCAGTGCTAAGCATTATGTAATGTCATCCTCACACCCCACTGGGAGGAGGGCACCCCTTTTAGAGAAGAGGAAATGGCTGGGAGGGCTGTCCTGTCTCCCAGGGTTGCACAGGAGCCCCGATTTGGTCCCAGGCAGGGTGCCCATCAGGGTGTCTCTGTGTTTCCACCTGGGTGATCACTACCCTCTCTTCCAGCGCCCACACCTCCGTTCTCACTCGTGCACTTGATTTCTGATCTGCAGAGCTGATGTTGCTACTTGTGCTTTACACCCTTCCCTAGAGCCCCTCTCTTCTCCAGGGATGAAGCTCCTGGCTTCCTTCAGCCAGGCGTTCAATGCCACCTTTCCATGCATCTTTGCTTGGTCGCCGACGGCCCTCCAACCCCGGTCCCCATGGCGCGCTCTGGCCCGGGCAGCCACCGGTCAGACCCCTCGACCGCCGCGGAGGACGGCCCGGGAGCCCGCCGGAGCCCTGGAGAGCGCGGGTCACGTGACTGCGGGGATTTGTCGACGCTGCCCGGAGGCCTGGGTGCGTGTCGGGGCCGCGGTCCCAGGCGCCACCGTGCGCCCGGTGCGCGCACAGTCGGTGCGCATCGCCCGGGGAGAGAGGATGGGCTTGGGATTACAGACGGCGACAGGCGGGGTGGGGGGTGGGGGAGAATGCAGTTTAGTGACCGAGAGTTGTCGGGGGCCAGCATGGAGGACAGAGGGGTCTTTGAGGGAGTCCCCGGTAGGAGGATCGTTTTGGGGCAGGATGAGGTGACAGGTCCGCATGTGTGTGTGTGTGTGTGTACGTGCGTGTGCCACCGTACTGGGGCTTGAACTCAGGGCCTTTCCCCTGAGCCCTTTCCGCTTAAGGCTGGCACTCTACCACTTGAGCCAAGCTCCACTTCCGGCTTTTTGGTGGTTCACTGGCGCTAAGAATCGCGTGGACTTTCCTGCCTGGGCTGGCTTCGAACCTCGATCCTCACTTCTCAGCCTCCTGAGATTATTATAAATTATAAACAATGAACCATAAGTAAATACATAAATTAAAACATTCCCAACTTCTCCCCACCCCCGCTCCAGCGCAAACTCCTGCAGGGCTGTGCGACCCCGGCCGGCTCCGCGCTCCGCCCGTCCCGACCCAGCCGCGCGCGCGCTGGAGCGCTGGGCAGCGGCCACTTCGGAGGTCGGTTGGGAACCGGTCCTCCCGGACGTCCCCGACATGCCCCCGCCGGGCGACAGACTCCTAGTGGCGGCAGATGGTCGTGATGCCCAGGCCCGCCCCTTCCCCAGGTCCAGGACACGGGACCGGGAGCCGGGGCCCCGAGGCGCCCGCGCTCCCCCGGGAGCCGCGGCCGCC